GCAGCTTGGTAATGGGACCACTTAGGTTTACTCATGAACCTACTAACCATCCCAACTGAGTAGCAAATATCAGGTCTGGTATTGCACAGATACCTCAGAGAACCAACCAACTGTTTGAAGGTTGTAGCGTCCACATCCTTTCCTTCAGAGTCTGAATCTAGTTTCTGATTTGTATCAGAAGGTGTGACAGCCATCTTACAATTCTTCAGATCAAATCTCTTCAGAAGTTCTAATTCATACTTGAGCTGATGCAAAATGATACCTTTCTCAGAATATCTGAACTCCATCCCTAGAAAGTATGTCATTTTGCCTAGATCAGTCATTTCAAATTCATTCATTAGAACCTTCTTGAACTTGGCTACCTCCTGTTCAGAACTTCCAGTCAATAGTATATCATCAACATATAAACATACCAGAGTCATATTGCCTTCAGAAGTATGCTGAACATAGACACCGTACTCCATCTCACATTTTTGAAAGCCTTGCTTCTTGAAAAATGAATCAATCTTCTGATTCCAAGCTCTGGGCGCTTGTTTCAATCCATATAGAGCTTTGTATAATCTGTACACCATCCCTTCCTGATTCTTTTTCACAAATCCAGGAGGTTGTGACACGTAAACTTCTTCTTCTAATGGACCGTTCAGAAATGCAGATTTTACATCTAAATGCATCAGAGGCCAATTCCTGTTAGCAGCTATTGCAATCACCATTCTGATTGTTTCATGTCTTGCTACAGGTGCAAACACTTCAGAGTAATCCAGCCCAGGTTTTTGTAGAAATCCTCTGGCTACCAACCTTGCTTTATGTTTGCCAATTGAGCCATCTGGCTTTAACTTCTGCTTGAAAACCCATCTGACGTTGATGGCTTTCTTGTCTTTTGGAAGTTCTGTCAGCTTCCAAGTCTTGTTTCTCTCTATAGCATCAAGTTCTTCTTTCATGGCCTTCAGCCAGAGCTTCTGCTTAAGAGCCTCCTCTGTACTTATAGGTTCAGAATCTACTAACATGGCACACTGAATAACTTCTCCTTCAGAGTCTACTTCAGTGTCTTGCAGCATGTCAAATTCTGCAAATCTTCTGGGAACGCTTCTGATTCTTTGTGGTCTCTGAACTTGTTCAGAGTCTTGAGCTTCAGAGTTTCCAGCTTCAGATGGTTGACTTCCTCTAGAGCTTTGACCATCTTCAAGATCTGGCATATTTTCAGAGTCTTGGCCATCTTCAGAGTCTGAATTTCCACCAGAATCTGGATTACCATCAGAGTCTGGATCATCAGAGTCACCTTCATCTTCTGAGTCTTCTCCAGAGTCAGAATCACTATCAGAGTCAGAATCAACGTCAGAGTTTACTTCAACTTCAGAAATTCTTAACTCTGACCTTTCTTCAGAAGTTCTAACATCAGAATCAGATTGAGACTTATCCCAATTCCAAACTTCTGATTCCTTCACAATCACATCTCTGTTGAATTCAATTTTATTGGTTTCTGGACAATAGAGCTTGTATGCACCTGTACTGTGGTACCCTATCAGAATCATCACTTTGCTTCTATCATCCAGCTTCTGTCTTCTGGCTTCTGGAACATGTTTATAGCAAACAGAACCAAACACCTTCAGATGATTAACACTTTGCTTGTCTCCAGTCCACTTCTGCATAGGAATTATTTCCTTCAACTTCTTCGTAGGACATCTGTTGAGTACATACGTTGCAGTGGCAACAGCTTCTCCCCAGAGCTTCTGAGGAAGCTTCTTCTCCTTTAGCATGCTTCTCACCATATCAAGCAAAGTGCGGTTTCTTCTTTCAGCAAGACCATTGTGTTGAGGGGTATAAGGAGCAGTAACCTCATGCTCAATTTCATTCTCCTCACAGAACTTCTGGAACTCTTTGGAGTTATACTCACCTCCACCGTCAGTTCTAAGAATCTTCAACTTCTGACCACTCTGATTCTCAGCCTTCATTCTGAATTTCTTGAATTCATCAAACACCTCGTGTTTGAACTTAATAAGGGATACCCATGTCATTCTTATGAATTCATCAACAAATAACACAAAGTATTTATTCCCTCCAATTGATGCTACTAGAAATGGACCACACACATCAGAATGTACAACTCCCAAGGCATGTTTTGCTCTTGGAGCAGCTTCTGACGCAAATGGCAATCGTGGTTGTTTTCCTTCCATGCAAACTTTGCATGATTTTTCAGGCTTCTTAATTGCAGGAATTCCATGTACCAACTTCTTTGAATTCAGATGTTTTAAGCTTCTGAAATTCAAATGACCAAATCTTCTGTGCCACAACTCACTCTCCTTCTCAGCACATGTTGCACTAAGACATTCTGAGTCTGCAGTTCTGACATTCACCTTGAATGTTCTATTCCTTCCTTGTTCTGACTCCATAATCAACTTCTGATTGTAGTCATACAACTTCAGAATATTGTCCTTCATGGTAACTGAAAAACCTTTCTCAATTAATTGTCCCACACTCATCAGATTGCTTCTGATGCCAGGTACATACCACACGTTCTGAATCAATGCTGTTTTCCCATTGTTCAGAGTCACTCTGACATTTCCCATACCTTCTGCATTAAGATATTTGTCATCAGCACATATGATCTTTGTCCTCTTTTCAGAGTCAAAGTCAACCATCCATTTCTTATTTCCAGTAAGATGATTTGAACAGCCAGTGTCCATATACCACCAGTCTGTCAGATCCATATCATCAGATTCATAGGCCATCAATAGCACAGATTCGTCATCAGAACTTCTGGCTATATTTGCTTCTTCTGATTTCTTCTCCTTGTTTGACCAACAATCTCTAGCAAAGTGACCAAACTTCTTACAATAGTAACATTGGATCTTCTTCTTGTCATACTTCTCTTTTCCCTTCTGAGCATTCTTTTGCCTATCAGAGATTGAGCTTTCTGACTTCTGACCACCATCAGATCTTCTCTTGGCTTCTGACTACTTCTGATACCTCCTATCAGAAGTTGCTTTCAGTTCCCGCTGCTCTACTTCCCTTTCAGAAGTTCTCTCAATCAAACGCAACTCTTTCGCTTCTAAACTGCTTTGCAGCTCTTCAATTCTCATGGTACTCAGATCTTTGGAATGTTCTATTGCTACCACAATGTAATCAAATTGAGAGGTAAGGGATCTCAATACCTTCCCCATGATTGTTTCTTCAGAAAGAGTTTCTCCACACGCCTTCATCTCATTAGTGATCAGAATCACTCTGGAGATGTATTCAGAAACTTTCTCATTATTCTTCATGTTGAGATTCTCATATTGCTTTCTCAAGGACTGAAGCTTCACCTTCTTCACTGATGCGTCACCACCATAACATCTAACCAGTGTGTCCCACGCAACCTTTGCTGTCGTTGAATCTGCAATCTTCTCAAACACATTTACATCAACACATTGATGAATAAAGAATAATGCTTTCTGATCCTTCTTCCTTACTTCCTTCTGCGCGTTTTTCTGTTCATCCGTTGCATCTGCTGCTACCGGAACATAACCATCAGTGACAAGATCTAAAACATCTTGAGCACCAAACAGTACACGCATTTGGATCATCTAACGATTCCAGTTTTTACCGTCAAATACTGGAAGCTTGGTGTTCATGTTGCCGTTTCCGTTCATCTTCACCTTGCACAATACACTCAGATTTCTCACACAGTGTTTCCCAACCCACAGAATAAAATTCTGATCAGATTTTGTTCAAGATTCAACACGAATCTAAGAATCAAAATCAAACACACAAGACCTCACGTTCACTCGTGTTTTCCGTGTTTCCCAATGAATATGAACCGGAGCTCTAGATACCAATTATTGGTGCAAAGGTGAATAAATGATGAACAAAGGAAATATTCTATTAAGAATGACGACTACAAAACATGATAATGTTACAATGATTGTCACCCTATTTATAAGCTAAAACTAGGGTTACTAGAATAATATAAAATACTAAAATACCCTCTAACAAATTTAAGGGCTAAGAAAATAGTACAACTAAATAAATATGAATTACTATTAATATTCTAATAATTTGCATTATTTTATAAATAATTGAAATAAAAATACTGATCAATTGATTGAGGAAAATTCTTTATAATTGTTGTGTTTCAATTAAATTATAATTTTATATAATTTAATTTGTGAGAATATCAAAATTATTTGGAATGAGAGAAGAATGAAACAATCTTTATTAATAAAACTAAACAACAAAATAGTAAGAGCTCAAAATCCCATAAAAATAGCGTATATGTGAGAGAGGTTGAAAACACTGTTTCAACTCAAAGCTGCATAATTTTGGAAGAGGGAACTCGGTTCAGTGAGTCATGAATCAACTGCTAAAAGTAAAAGGGTATCTTCTCCTGCTTTTGACTCTCTCTCTCTCTCTCTCTCTCTCTCTCTCGAGCATAAGTTTCAGTGTTTCAGTTGAATTCACCTTTAGCTTTCTCATCACTGGATCTGCATTTTTTTTCTTGCAATAGGGTTCCTTATTCTTTCCGAAAGTTTCAAACTTTTTTTAAGCTTTGGACAATTCAACTTTTTTTTTTTGAAATTAGGGATTTTCTGAGGTTTATTGCTCTTCAGGAACCGAGTTTGTTAATTATGAGTTTACTTAGAATCAAACAGTTCAAATAGTTATTTATTTATTTGCCATTATCTCAATTTTGGTGAGATCTATTTATTTTATTCATGATGTTATGAGCTATGATTCTTATTTGGTATGAAATTAACTCTACATTAGTTGAAAAATCATTTTTTTCCATGTTTTGTGGAAACAGTTTCTATGCATAACTTGTTGAATTTGTGGAGTATCTTGTTAGTGGTTAGTTTCTTACGGCGGGGAACTTGTTAGCCGTGGAGATTGAACCCCGGACCGCGTTGTTTCCAAATTCAGTTCACATTTTGGCTAATGAGGACTGTGTTATATAATTGACTGGTTTGCATTGACTTGGGCAGAAAATTGTAAGGTTTGTGCTAGATTGAGATAGAGTGAACGACGAGATGGGTGTCCCGGGGAAGTGGATTAGAGCATTGGTTGGTCTAAAGAGATCAGAAAAGCGCGAGTCCTTAGAGAAGGATGGAAATGTGAGTATAGCTTTCTCTGTCTGAATTATCTCTTCTATTTTCTATGTACTATTTGTTGCTCGTAGTAGTTATTGTATTTGTATTTTTGGCTTAATTTGTAAAATCACTTAGTTCTTTATGTTCTTTCTTCCTCCCCTGTTGCAAAAAACTAAACTCATAAGTAAAGCATATAATTTTGCTTGTTATGGTTCACCTTGTGAGCATAGGTTTTTTGTGCTCTATTATGTCCTATGAAGCACGGATTCCGACACGGACACCGGGACACGTCACGGACACCGGGACACGTCACGGACACTGACACCGATAATGTTAAAATATAGGACACTGACACCGCTATATAGAAGAGAGTATTTTAGCTTTATTTATCTATCTATAATTAAATAAGTTGAAAATATTCTAATCAAAATTAATGTCTTTAATAATACACAGTTAACAATTTTAAATTTATGTGCGATTTGTCCAAAATATGCATAAAAGTGTGTTGAAGCAAAGAAAAAAACATATTTTTGTTTAAAACACTTATCTGAATTGTCAAACATGTGTTATGAGTGTCGTATGGATGTCAACCATTGATTCGAAGAGTGTCGAAACAAAGAACAAAACCATTCTTTTAGTGGAAACTTGTCTGACTTTTCCGACACTTCTTTGACTTTTCCGACACATGTCGTACGGGTGTCATACAAGTGTCGGACACCGCGACACGCCTACTCCTATATGTGTCCGTGCTTCATAGATTATGTCACTCTTTTATGGTTTCTGTTCATGAAATCTGAAGAAAGTGTGTTTGTTTAGTTTAAATGAATTCATTTTATCATTAAATTTGCTTATTAAGGTTAAATGAGAGTATGGAAAGATTGTATGCTATATATCAGTTACAGACCTGAAAGTTTGATTTATCCATTTGAAATTTGCACTACAAAGCCATAATCAAACTTTAGAACGGCAAATCATTAGCTATCCACGTTTTGCAGTAGCGGCAAAATAGCCCTTTAGCAGCCGCATATTGGTTAGGGTTTATATTTTTCCAATTTATGTATGTTTCCCTACCTCTCTTCCTACTCATCAACGATAAAATCGAAGAGACACTCTGTTCTGCTCTGCATTTCTACAACTTCAAGGACTAAAAATAGCAACACGACTCTTCGTTTCTGGTGACAGCAACTGTGTTTGCAACAGGTGAATGTCACATTCAGGTTCTCGCCATTGTTTTTTGACATTTGCGTATTTGTGAAGTGCAAAGGCCAACCAACACCCTACACACTTGCATATCTGCTGTTAATGTTGAAAGTTATGAGGTCTTAGATAAGGAAATAGAGAAGAGAAAGATTACAAACTTGTGATTTATGTTCATACTTCAATTATACTAATGAGCAAGCACTAACCCTTATTTATACTGATATCAATTAAATAAGAAAGTTCATCACAATAGTTGCATGACTCATTCTCCAAAATAATCATTTGAAACAAACAGATTATGAAATGTAAAGAAACGGGGAAACCAGGCCTAAGAGTTCATCTAAGATATTAAGAACAACTCCACGATACAATACAACCCAAATATCATGAGATATTTTCCATATATTTTAGTAGTTAATAGCAGAACTTTCTTCTTTTTTATCTAAGTGATTGTGAATGATGGGAAAGTTTCGGGAATGCTTTACAAGTTAATTTCTGAATTATACTTCCACTTTCATAATGCTAAACTATTAATGTCCAAGTTATTTTAGACTTTTTGCCTAGCACTGTAAAATGCATTGCTTGACAAACTTCTTTCTGGCTGTTGTATAATTTTATGATATCATAAAAGACGTTTTTTTTTTCTTCCCGAAAATAAGGCTAGCAAGTTTCGCCTTCGAAGAAAGCATTCCATTGAAATTCACAGTAGCAAACTTCAAAATGAGTTTGGCGACGATGGCGCTACACCTATTGGAGATGCAGATCATGCAAATTCCCAATCAATTATTGATGCTCATTATTCTCCTTCTACTTCACAACAAGCACCGGATGTTGCACATAATCATCAAATTACAAGTGAAGAATGGGCTGCAATATGCATTCAAACAGCATTTCGAGGATTTCTGGTAATTGATAGCTTCATTTTGGTTTAACTTATCGTCATATTTTGAGGATTTCTTTCTGTATTGATTTGATTACATGTACTGTTTTTTTTCCCTTCTTTATACTATAGCAGGATATCTTGCTCTTTGTTTAATATCTGCTAGGGTTTTATATTATTGATTTTTTTATGTCAAAATGCATTTCATATCTATATGAAACTTTTATTTTTTGCGTTAACCCTATCTTAAACTTTTTTGTGTTAACTCTCACAAAACATGTTACTATTCTATGTATTAGGCCAGAAGAGCACTTCGTGCTTTGAAAGGATTGGTAAGGCTTCAGGCCCTTGTAAGAGGCCATGCAGTAAGAAAACAAGCTGCAATAACTCTCCGTTGTATGCAAGCTTTGGTGAGGGTTCAGGCCCGTGTTAGAGCAAGGCGTGTTCGCTTGGCATTAGAGAGTCAAACAGATCAACAGAAACTTCAGCAACAGCTTGTAAACGAAGCCCGTGTTCGAGAAATTGAAGTAAGCAGTACTACTCCAAAAGCTAAATTGTTTTATTAGTAAGGAATATATTTGTTTTTTCATCATTATTTTCATTTTTCTTATCTATTTCCCAATCCTGTCTTAACTCCCGTTCTAGTGATATGAGTTTAATATTTCACTTGCATCTTGGCAACCTAGACATAAATTGAAAACAAAGAATGAAAGTAAGGAACATAATAAAAAAGGGGGGAAATAATGTCCTAAACTAACAAACCAAAATAAAGTTTTATTTATGTCATTTGATTGGTTTTAAATTTAAAAACAACTCAATTCTTTTGATCTAGCTGCATAAGAATCCAATTTGTGCTGAGCGTGTTTTTACGTAGGATACACTGCGTTTTGTTTTTCAAACAAAATTAGGAGGCTCCTGTTAACATAATATTAATAATAGTTACCAGCAACTTAGGTTGTGTATTTCTCGTATTTGTTTGTTACAGGAAGGTTGGTGTGACAGTGTGGGATCTGTTGAAGAAATTCAAACCAAAATATTAAAGAGACAGGAGGCTGCAGCAAAACGTGAGAGAGCCATGGCATATGCTCTAGCTCATCAGGTAAATTTACAATTGCATCTTATTGAATTGCAATTTACAATCAAAGGCATTAGAATTGCAATTTACAATAAATTTGAAAATGAACTTCAGATGCATTCTTCATATGCAGTAATTATCATGTGTCTGTTTTAATTAAGAATGATACGAAAATATACTATCATGTTTATTAGGAAAAGCATGGTATTTGTGGAGCATCCAGTGTGTAGAGATATGGGACCAGTTAAGTCCCTAAAGTTTTAGGACTCGACTAATTTTGTCCCCAAAATTATTGAAATTCTAAAATCATCTCTGAAATTAAAAATCCTTGGTCTTTGCGACATTTTCATTGACTAAGTTGACCGATCCTCAGGCATCATGTTTTAATTTCGTTAACTTTAGAGTCCAATTGTCCAATGCCAATAATTTCTTTGACTAAATTGGCGACATAGTCTAATTTTTCAATGTATGGTTGTATTAGTACATGTTTAGACAAAAGTATTTTAATATTGTTATCCATGTCGGTTGTTATTCCATTATTATCTTCAAGTACATTTTTTGCTTTGAGTACTTTCATACCAGGAGCTTGGTCATGAGATATTTTTCTTCCTCTTTGCAGTGGCAGGCAGGATCAAGGCAGCTTGCTGCTTCTTCAGGGTTCGAACCCGATAAAAGTAGTTGGGGTTGGAATTGGTTGGAAAGATGGATGGCTGTACGTCCTTGGGAGAATCGCTTTCTTGACATTAATACGAAAGATGGAGTAAAGGCAGACGAAAATGATGTTATGGATGGTAGCAATGGGGTCAGACCTCAGTTCAAGCCTACTAATGCGAAATCAAATCTGCCAAACATCCATCCAAGCGTCGTCAGTCACAAAACCGGCCCCTCTCTCTCTGATGGCTGTGATTCTTCTTCCACTAGCAAGTCAGCAGATTTGCTCGAGACATCGAACACACAATCTGTTAGACCAAAGTCTAATGCAAATGTTCAAATTCCCGTTGAAGAAAACAACTCAAAATCTAGTTTTCCAAGATCTCAAAGTAATCCAAAGGAGAGAATCTCACAGGTAGATAAAGATAAACAGGCGAAAAAGCGGTTATCTCTTCCTAACAATGGTTAGTTTGTTCTCTTTCTCTACATTGTCCTAATGTAATTAGGTTATCACCTATGCGAGTGCAAAACATCATCAAAGTTTGCTCAACATAAAACATGATCACAAATATTTTCTAAGAGGTAGCAGGATAAAAAGCACGATATTGCCAAATCCTGTTGAATGGTGTGTTTGATTATCTGAAAATGCCATCTCTAAGTTTAATTTGTCATGTATTTTAGCAGGGGTTGGTTCCGGGACTCAAACGGCCCGATATCCTACCAGAACGAATGTGAAAGGGACACGTAGCACACAAAAGCCTATAAGGAATAAACCCAAGCTCAGTGAAGAAGGGAATAGGAATCTTACTAAATCTGTTCCACAGCAAACGGGTGTGTAACTTCTAAGTATTAAGAAACTACTTCATCCCCCCTTTGAGAGATCCTGATATGACATTTGTCTGTGTCAAATGTAATGTGTGGCGCAAAGCGTTTAGGGGTTGCAACCACAATGTACATGTTCTTCTCTTCTCTTCTACGAAGACACTGGTGTTGTTTGATTGTTGAGTTTGGTTTGGGTTTTGTGAGGTGGATACACATATCTGTTGTAATTATATGCATATTTGTTGTTGTGAGCTATGTGATAACGGATGCTATATGATATGTATGTTCAAATGTACAACTTTCAGAGTGCCATTGCCTCCCATTTCATTGCTATTGCCAAATTGAAAGGTACTTTATTATTGCTAACATAAATATTAGGCATCCTCTAAAACGTACATTGTTGCACTCTAACATTACTCTGGAAACTAAGGAAAAAAGTTATTTATTATCAAATATGTTCAAAACGGCTTGAGATACAAGTATCAGAGGTTTTATCCTACCCAGTTTAACCTCATACCCCACATACTTTTCATAATATCTATATTTCCTTTGTCAATTTTGTAAAATAAATTCGGTAGAACAAATTAAAAATCTCGTATAAATTGAAAATTCAAACAGCGTATTTAAAAAGTTCTATATGCATTATTATCGTTTTTTAAAAATATGAATTTAACATACCAGATATTTTTATTTTGATAAATCTGATAATCTTTAGTAATTTTCTGGATTTTTGAAAAAATTGATAGTTCATATTTGATAGGCAAATAATTTTTTTTTTTAATACTATTGAGTTTTTCGAAATGTTTTGTAGCTGACCAGATTTTCAAAATGCTTTGTAGTTTTTTGGCATGAAAAATTACAAAACATTTCGAAAAAATCTGTTAGTGTTAAATTATTTTCCCATCAAATATGACTTACTGACATTTTTTTAAAATCCAGAAAACTATAAAACATTTTGAAAAATATGGTATATTTTCAAATATTTACCAGTAATCAATACGTTTTTATTAGAAATTTTAGAAAATTTTGATATTTCTTAAAAACAAACTCAAAATATCTAGTATTATTAATTTGGAACATCCGATACTTCTTCATATAAACGGAAAAAAAAATCTGGCATTTTTTTGAAAAATCCTATATTTTATGGTATTTTTAAAAATTCGAAAATATTTAATAAGACCATAAAGGTAATATCAACCCTCATGTGGGGGTGTTAGGTCAAACTGGAGGGTGGAGGGTGGTAGGATAAATTCTCATAAGATTGGGCTTGAAAAACCTTATTTGATTTTTGATATGAATGACTTTTTGGGCGTGTCTATGGGTTTGGTTATTCAGAACCATTATAATGAACTCGATAGTACCCTTTTCAAAACTACCTAGGGGTTTCTCTAATGTGGTTCATCTTATATCCAATTTGAGACATTTCTTTTTCTATCTTTTTCTATTCCTTGGTCGCATTTCTTTTTTCTAACTCTATACACTATCATTTTGCAATCTATTTTGATATGGATATTCTTTATCTCTATGATTCTAGCTACTATGAACAAGTTGATAATCGCTTGGTCTTTAGTTATAAGAGGATTTTTATATCCTATCTGATTCCAACTTATCTCAGCTATAACTACGCCATTATCGTTATTGATGATAATTCCAAGGTTTCATTATGTTTTAATGGTCATTTTGGCATTCATGTTGATGGTGAAAGTGATATTCTTAGTATTCTCAACTTTAGGGTGATTTGTAGAAGTTTCATCTTTGTTCCGTAGTTCGTCATCTATTTTATGCTTTTCTTTGTTGTCTCTTACTCTAGTTTTCTAATTGTCACTTTATTTTTGTTCATCAGAGCATCTCAAATGGTGCAACTCATTTTTGGATTTTTTGTGAGACCCACTCTTTTAAAGCAACTCATTCAATTTTCACTCTAATGGTGCAACTTCAAAGAACCCATATTGCGTCCCACCATTTTATTTAAAATATATTATTTATATTAAATTTATTTTATTTAAATTATAATTTAAATATTTAAATTTTAATTAATATAAATACAAATTAAACATAAAATTAAAATTAAACATAAAATTGAAAATAATAATTAAAATTAAATTTAAATACATGTCACATAATTAAAAACAATAAAAATAAATAACACCACATAATTAAAAACAATAAAAATAAATAACATCACATAATTCGTCATTTAAGTTTCATCTTCCTCGTGTCCAAAACGTTCCCAAATATGCTCTTGAAGTTGGCGATGAACCTGCTTTTCACGAATATTTGCTCTTCTTTGTAGCCTTGTTGCAAGATTCGGATGGGGACCGTTAAATGTTTCAGTTGTTGAGTTGTTGTCATCTACATTATCATAAGAGTAATCAAAATGACCTTCATATGTGTGTCGTTCGTCTTCAACAATCATGTTGTGTAATATGATGCAAGCATATATTGTATGCTTGAGGGTTTCCATGTGCCAAGCACGCGCTGGACCACGTATAATTGCAAATTGAGACTGGAGCACTCCAAATGCCCGCTCCACGTCTTTTCTAGCTGATTCTTGATGTTGAGCAAATAATTTTCTCTTTTCTCCCTACGGCATTGAAATGGTCTTGACAAATGTAGCCCACTCAGGATATATACCATCCGCTAAATAATACCCCATATTATATGGTGTTCCATTGATTGTATATTGCACAGTGGGAGCATGTCCTTCCAAAATATCGTTAAACACGTTAGATTGGTTTAACACATTAATGTCATTGTTAGAACCTGCAATACCAAAAAATGCATGCCAAATCCATAAGTCTTGAGATGCCACAGCCTCAAGCATGATTGTGGGTTTACCATGATCACCTCGACAAAATTGTCCTTTCCAAGCAACAGAACAATTTTTCCATTCCCAGTGCATACAATCAATGGAACCCAACATACCTGGAAAGCCACGTGACTCACCCATTTTTAAAAGATGTTCAATATCAGTGTTGTTAGGCTTTCGCAAATACTCAGCCCCAAATACAACATTCACACCCTTAACGAATCTTTCTAAGCACTCAATTGAGGTACTTTCACCGATTCGAACATATTCGTCTACAATATCAGCGGGAGACCCATATGCCAACATACGAATAACAGATGTGCATTTCTGCAATGGTGAAAGACCCATCTTACCAGTTGCATCGACCCTCATTTGGAAATATTCATCATGATTGCCGAGTGCATCTACAATTCGAAGAAACACATGCCTATGCATTCTGAACCTTCTTCGGAATTGTACATCTGTGTATACTGGATTTTCTGAGAAGTAGTCATTGAATAACCGATTGTGCCCTTCTTCACGACCTCGATCTACCGCAGTTCTTCTCTTTGGCCTAGAGGAACTTCCAAATTGACATTCATTTTGAAGATGTTGTTCTTCATCACTGTCGTCCATTAATTCTTCTTCAACTAACTCCCAAAATTCTTGATCGTAATTATCTGAATTGTCTGAATCCATATTTTAGTGAGGAATAAGAAGAGAATGAGAAAACAATGACACAAGTGGTAGTATATATAATGGTTTGAATAACGGCTAGTTATTCATAACGGCTAGTTATTCATAACGGCTAGTTTGAATAACATAAAAATTTAAAGTGGTACTAACTACAATCCATAAAATTTAAAGTGGTACTAATGACATAGAATTTGATAAATTAAAGTGGTACTAATGACCATTTTACATATAATTTAAAGTGGTACTAACTACAATCCATAATATTAATATAAAATAAATAAAATTAAAATTAAACATAAAATTTAAAATGATAATTAAAATTAATCTCAAATACATGACATACAATTAAAAACAATAAAACTAAATTACATAACAATAATTACTCAAATTTAAATATAATTTAAAGTGGTACTACAGTCCATATTTTTTTTTTCATTTTATTACAATATTTTTCATGAATATCTCGTTGACTTTTGTTCATAGTAGAAGTGTCTTTCATCATGATTTGCATTGCCTTTAATTCTATCTCGTCCTCCTTACTCTGCGCAAGTCTTTCCATTGTTTCTGCTCTTTTATTCCTTGCATCTTGCGTTGCATTTGAAATTTCCTTTGCCTTACCCTTCCTTTTTGCTACTTTTTGTCCCATTGGTGATGATGAGTTAAACTCATAACTTGAAGGTGTATCAGGGATCTCCGATGATGCCCCACTAGCAGAAGTCTGTGTCATTTTTGAAGAATTTCCGATCGATTCTCCGATGATGCCCCATTTAGCTTCATCTTTTAACAATCGCCATGCATACTCAAGATTGAATGTTATACCTTGATCTTGAGCATAAAAAGCATGTGCAGCAGCCATGATATCGTTCTCTGATGTCCCACTTTTCTTTCCATTGACAGCTTGTCTATAACACCCAACAAATTTTTGAACCGACGCATTTATTCGATGCCATCGACATTTTAATTGACCACTTAACTTTTCTCGCAATTGCCCATGATACTGGTTATAATTTGCAGCGACTCTATGCCAAAAACTCTCAGCTTTTTGATCAACCCCCACAATTGGATCCTTTGAAACATTGAGCCATGATTGGATAAGACATATATCCTCATCCCTTGTAAATTGCTCTCGAGATTTTTTTTTAACGAGAACCCTTTCTTCTTTTTTAACACCAACTTGAGTAGAAAATGGTGGAACTTGAGAATTTTGAGGATTAGGATTTTGATACATATTTGAATTGTTTGGTGACGGAAAAAATATGGCGGGGTTTGGTGGTACGGATGGAATTTGAGAATTTTGAGAATTAGGATTTTGATAATTTTGCGTAAAATTGAACATAGCTTGTTGATAATGAAAATGATTAGGATCCATTTGGCCTAAACAAATGTAATTTGAAATAAAAAGATGAAAATTTGAAATAAAATGATAATGAGAAGAAATTGTTGGAAAAAATTAAATAAAGCCTATATTTATAATAAATAAAAAAGTTAAAAAAAAAATAAAGCCTATTTATAACAAAGCCTATATTTATGTTA